TTTTTTTTTTTTTTTTTTTTTAGAAAAGAGGTGGTCCTCTGGCTGATCAAGATCGCATCTTTACAAATTTATATGGCAGGCATGATTGGAGGTTAAAAGGTGCCATGAAAAGAGGAGATTGGTATAAAACTAAGGAAATCATACAAAAAGGTGCAGATTGGATTATCAATGAAATCAAAGTGTCTGGTTTGAGAGGACGTGGAGGTGCAGGATTTCCATCTGGCATGAAATGGTCTTTTATGAACAAACCCTCTGATGGAAGGCCAAAATATCTGGTAGTTAATGGTGATGAGGGTGAACCTGGCACTTGTAAAGATCGTGAAATTCTTCGTCATGATCCACATAAACTTGTGGAAGGTTGCTTAATTGCTGGTCGTGCAATGGGAGCATGTGCTGCATATATCTATATTCGTGGTGAATTCTATAATGAAGCATCAAATATGCAAGTTGCCATTGCAGAAGCTTATCAAGCTGGTTTAATTGGAAGAAATGCTTGTGATTCTGGTTATGATTTTGACATCTTTGTACAAAGAGGAGCAGGTGCATACATTTGTGGAGAAGAAACTGCTCTGATTGAATCTATTGAAGGAAAACAAGGAAAACCTAGATTAAAGCCTCCTTTTCCAGCTGATGTTGGATTATTTGGATGCCCCACCACTGTTACCAATGTTGAAACTGTTGCAGTAGCTCCTGTACGTATTCGATTTTGATATATTCTTAGCATTATTAGAAAATACATATATATATAAAATTTTAATTCTAAAATTAAAACTTCGATATATAGACTATTTGCAGACGAGGCGGAGCGTGGTTTGCGTCATTTGGTCGTCCACGTAATCATGGTACAAAATTATTTAATATCTCGGGGCACGTGAACAATCCCTGCACCGTGGAAGAAGAAATGTCCATTCCTTTAAAAGAACTCATTGAAAGACATGCTGGTGGAGTAATTGGTGGATGGGATAATTTATTGGGTGTAATTCCTGGTGGATCTTCCACTCCCGTTATTCCGAAAAAGTATTTTAATTATATTTATTAATTAATTACAGAGTTTAACAACTTTTAATTCAAAATTAATGATTTTGTAGTGTATGCGATACAGTGTTGTTGGATTTTGACGATCTTGTCAGAGTACAAACTTCTTTTGGTACTGCAGCTGTAATTGTAATGAACAAACAGACCGATATTATTAAAGCTATCACACGTTTGATCAGTTTTTATAAGCACGAATCGTGTGGTCAATGTACTCCGTGTCGCGAAGGAATAAGTTGGATGTATAAAATAATGAGAAGGTATGCAACTTCTACTTATTTTTATTTTATATTGAAGTAATTAAACTATAGATTTGAAAATAGTGAAACAAATTTGTGTTTAGATTTGTTCAGGGACAAGCAGAAATACATGAAATAGATATGCTTTGGGAGTTGACCAAACAAATTGAAATGCACACTATCTGTGCTTTGGCGGATGGTGCGGCGTGGCCAGTTCAAGGATTAATCAGGCATTTTAGACCGGAAATAGAAGCACGCATTACACAACACAAACAAGCTATATCAAATTAAAGGTATAGAGACTAGAAGCCATTGAACGTTCCAATAATTGTCAAACAAATGACTGAACAATGTGTAGATATATTTATACTTGTAAGATATATTTATTTACAGTGTATGTAAGATGAACCAAGGTGCAGTGTAGTTGAATTTCCTATGTAATTCTGCTGGACTTTGTTTCTCTTTTAATGGTCCGGTAAATAAAAATGATAGAAAAACGTAATTTGTCTGTATTAATGTAGAAGCAGACAGAAATCACATTTTTAAGATAATTTAAATTCTTTTTATATCTGAAAAAGTCTAATGCAAAGAAAAATAATTCCATAATACGTATAATCGTAAAGAATTCGAAGAAGAATTTCTAATGGAAACTAAACATTTTCAACAATACCTTTATAACACAAAAGGATATCGAGTAATTAAATTAAAATTAAAATAAAAAAATACTTGAAGAGAATTGCATTTTATTTCAACGATATCGGAATTCAAGAAAGTAACAGCCTCAAGCTTCGTTTGAAATAATATCGTTACAAGTGATCTCGTTCGTTCTCATTGAGAATCTAACAAGTTATAGCAAGTATCAAATTATAATGTAACGTGATAAAATTAATAATTATTCGTTTCTATAAATTTTTAAATGTACAGAATGATTCAATTGTAATATTTATCAAGATTAAGTTTTCAATTTTTTTTTTTTTTTTATAAATTCAGAATGATAATATTAAAAATGATTGAATCATTCTGTATATTTCAAATAATCATATTTAACATTTTCTTTTTGCGTCAAAATATGTATATATTCTTTATAAATTGAATATTTTCAGAAAGCAAAATATTTAATATTTTTAAATACATTTTATATCGAAAAAAATCAAAGAATGCGCGTAGAAGAGGGAGAACCGTTGCGAGACGAGATAAAAATCGAAAAATAAAAAGGACATTGGCACACGACGTGGTATACCGAACGATACGTTGCATTTATTCGTTCATTATACAAGAAAAAAGTTTTCTAGCACTAATGTTTCCGCTGACTACGGATACAGATAATAATGTCGCTCGGATTACGGTACAATGTGCGTATACAATATACAATATATATATATGTATATACATACAAAAGCGCTCGCTCGATTTACAGACCGATATCTTTTTCTCTCTCACATATTCTCACTCATTCTCTCTTGTTCTTTCGCTCTCTCTCTCTTTCTCTCTCTTTCTCTCTCTCTCTTTCTCTCTTTCCTTTTGTGTCTCAAAATCGGGACTGTCTTTTGAAATTCCTCATTTTTCCTCTTTATTCTTCTATATTTTTTATTTCTCTTCCTTTTTGTCTTCCTTTCATTCAATATATCATCGAGAATTAATTCTTTCTTCTTTTTATTTTACTTAAATAAAATTAAGCTAGCCGTTATAATATCGGGATAGCTTGTTTTTCTTATTTTTTAAAATTTTTTTTTTATTTTTTACTTTTTTTTATTTTTTTTTTTTTTCTTTCATCTTTCTTTGCAAGCTATTCCGGTGAGTTAGTAAGCGCACACACTGTCTTTTATGATAGGTCCGTTGTTACGTTATCTCCCTCCTATCTCTATCTATCTAAAATCTCTGTTTCATTGATTTTTGTTTTGCCTCTTGCTCACGAGAATCTGGGGAGGTGAATTGAATGAGAATTTTTATATATATATATATATATCTCTTTTTAATATCTTCTCATTCGGTTTCATCCTTTTTTGATTAATTTATTTTTAATAGCTGGCGATTATTACAAAGCTTTCGTATAAAAGATGGTTTTTGTTCCCTTCTTGACGATGTCAGCGATTGAACTTCCAGTAGTAAATCATGTTCCCTGAAGAGGAATCGACTTCATAATTTTATTGAACTTTCTCCAAGAGAACGTAATTTACAAGATTAAGTCGGATATAATCCTTAAAAATCACATATCTTATAACCCCTAAAAATTCACTTCAAAATATCCATTCTATATGCATTATTCAATGAACCAAAGATACCAAAAAAAAAAAAAAAAAAAAAAAAAAAAAAATCAGATGATAATTCAACTTAAAAAAAAACAAAATCAACCAAAAATTGCTTTGTAAAAAAGTTCACAATATATATTCCAACAAAAAGACAACAAGTCTTTCAGAAAAAAAAAAAAAAAAAAAAAAAAAAAAATCAGATGATAATTCAACTTAAAAAAAAACAAAATCAACCAAAAATTGCTTTGTAAAAAAGTTCACAATATATATTCCAACAAAAAGACAACAAGTCTTTCAGAAAAAAAAAAAAAAAAAAAAAAGAATGAATATAATTAATCTTCATTTTCAATCTCATCAACAAAAAGACTCAATATACAAATCATATACAAAGATATACAAAAGAATAAGATGAAAAAAAAAACTTTATCTTTGGCTCATCAATATTATTCTTCCAGATGACCAGAAGATCCCGAAGATCACATTTTCATCACCTCTCCCGGACCTCCTGAGCACGCGATTAAAAGCCTATGTATAGCCCCGCTAGAGGAAACAAACGTGACTCGTAGCAAAATAATGTACGACGTTAATCTCGTTATTTCACTCGCTCGATTGTACTTGTTGCAAGTCCTGCCATTTGGACGCGGTCTTTTTCGACGCGCGGAAACAAGGTACACGTACACGATATGATTTGAATTAAGTATCTCTCTTTTTCTCTTTTTCTCATTCTCTCCCTCACTCTCTCTCTCTTTCTCTCTCTCGCTCTCTCTCTCTCACACACACCCACACTCACGCGTATCGTTATCTTTCAGGCGTATACAATCACGCTCTCTCGTTCTCGTTCGCCGGACACGCGCTCGCGCTCTTTGGCATGATCGTTGGCTATATCCTTCTAGCAAGATCACGCTTATTGTTGGAGACCTGTGCTGCTGGACCTGCGCCACTATTTAGTTTCCCGTATATATAATCAGCCATAAAAATAGACACGTCTCTATTGCAGTTTGCTACGTCAGCCCCCGTCTGCGCGGCTCTCGAGGATGAATTATTGAATAATTCTCAGTCGTGATTTTGTCTTTCTTTTCTTTTTTTATTTTTACTCGTTCGCATCGCGAACGTTTCGTTCAAAGAATAAATGGATGGATGATGATTATAGATGATTTCGAAAGTAAGGTAGAATGATAGAAAATAAAATAGAAATTGAATTTTTTGATGATAACGATCCAAGTATAAGTTGAGTGAATGATGGTTTGCTTAGATTAGGGAGCGATGTTTCCATGTTTGAGTAATTTGATCAAGAAATACAAACGGTTTTTGAGTGTGGAAAGTGGAATTAAGGGAATAGAAATAGTTTAAGCTTTTAAGGATTTAAGAATACTCCTCTAATACAGTTTTACATAATTCAAACTGTTTTGTTGTTTCGTTGTTAACTCTCGATTGATCAATGAGAATGAAACGTTTGTTATTCTACAGAAAGGATTAAAAATGAAAGAAAAGAAACGTTTACTCGACTATTACTTTGATCCAAAATAAAAAGCCGAACAAATTGGTAAAAAGAAAAGGACTCGATTGTTCGAAGCAAAAATTTCTCTGTTCGCAGTTGGTAATAATAGAAAAGACCGTCGATTTTTCTCGTCCCTATCATAAATCAAGACCATGAACGATAACGATCCATCCCGGTTCCCGCGGTTGACAGTTGCATCAATCTTCTCTCGTGCTCGCACCGGTGGCAGTGACTGTTTCGACCGACCCGTTTACAGAACCGGTCAGGATCGTTTCATCGATCCGTACCAGGCTGAAGCTTCCTTCTTCTTCTTTTCTCTGCATCCTGAAATCATCATCCCTTCCATGCAACGTAATCGAAAAACTATAATCTATCGATTAACCTGTCCCTTAATCGTCGTTTATCCTTGATCTATCTGCACGAGTCAGGGATCCAAAATATCCTTCAAGATCTCTCACGCTCAAACTTTACATCTATCTCGAGTCGGTTAACGTACTCTACGTATTTTGATCGATCTTCCTCGTTTATCATCTCACGATGCCATCGGAATACCTCGAATGAACCTGTCACTCGTCCTACAATCATCTCTACAGATCGATTACCGACCGATTCATCGCGATATTCTATATAATATTTATATATATTCAAACAGCCTCGAATGTCTGCGCAGACCACTCTCGAAGGAGAGGACCAACGTCTAGGTCTCCTGAATTTATTCGCGAGTCCAGCGACCACCTGGTCACAGGGATGGGTACATGTACGATGGTCGAGATCGCTCGATGGCGGATGGAAGGCACGGGGTAAGGATATCAAAAAGGGGCGTCGAAGGGTGATGACGGCTCGTCTCGATGCTCTCGGCGGACCTCAACTATCGTTCCTCCTCGGCCCAGTCGCTGGCCGCCCAGGCGGGTAGCGGCGTCTCGTACTCCCAGCCGGGGCCGCAGTAGCGCCACGCGTGCAGATACATGACCAGGTCGGATGGTTTCGGGTCTCTGTACTTCACTTTGCACTCGTAGCAGTGCGGATCCACGGTCATCTTGTCGTTCGTGAAACTGGAGTCGGGCGGCTCAGATCCCGTCTGCGTGCCGACCGTCACCTTNNNCTGCTGCTGTTGCTGCTGCTGCTGCTGCTCCTCCTCGGCCAGGCCGGGCGTCGAGGAGGGCGACGAGCCATCCTTGTCGTTGTTCAACGAGACTCCATCCTCCATGTCCAGCTTCGGCTTGAACAGACTCATCTCCGAGTCCCCGTCCATCCCTAGCCAATTCTCCGCGTTGTGGATGCTGATCAGATCCCTGACTAACTCCTGATCCGTCTTCCCGATGTTCCCACCCTTCCCCTTCTCCGGCCCGAACACCACGTGGTTGTACAGAGGATCGTTCACCACCGGGTAACCGAGGTACTGAAGGTGGACGCGGATCTGGTGCATCCTGCCTGTATGAGGCTTGCAAAGGACCACCGACGACTTGCCGTTGTAGCTGAGCTGCTTGAAATGCGTCACGCAGTTCTTCCCCTTCTCCGAGACCTTGCACACGCCGATCTTGTAAGACACCACCTCGATAGGCTCCGAGCAAATCACCTCTTCCTCGGCGGGGAACTCGCCTTCCACTCGACACACGTACTGCTTGTGAACCTGGAACCATGGATCTGGGATTAATTTGGGTGCAATTTGAAATCATCGAGGATTAATTTAAAATTTTTAAACGATACAAAAGTATCCCGATTTCTCGATATATTCGTTTCCAAATCTTCCATGAAAGGATCCTTTCTCTATTTCTCAAATCTTCAACGTTTCCCAATATCCTCGCCGCCTTTTTTCTCTCGGCAAGAAAAAGAAAAAAAATCTATCTCCAATTTCCCTCGTACGATTTCCCCGAAACGATTACGAAACGAACCTGTCTGTTTCTTATTTGGTGCTCCATCTGCCTCGCCTTCTTCGGCGTTCTACCGAAAAGGAGAATACCGCTGGTCAGTCTGTCGAGCCTGTGTATCGTCCTCAGGTTCTTCAGGTTGTACTCCTTGGCGAGAATGAAGACGACCGTGTTGTGCCGGTATCGTCCGCACGGGTGCACCTGCAATCCCAACATCCGAGATTTATTTGCCGAGAAAACACTCGGGCTCCGTGAAAGCGGGGAAAGAGGGACGGGGGAGGATGATCAGAGAGAAGGAGATTGTGCAATTGGACGGATTCTGTTCGGTTAAAAATACCGAATCGGCGTGCGCGAAACGAGAAAAGCGGGCAAGGATTATTGTATTATTGTGTTTGAGGAAGAACTGGATTATTCCTGGAAGTACGTTTCTGGATCTATTTTTATTGTTTCACGTCTTGTTTTGCCTTTAAATTCCAAACGTGAAATCTGTTTCTCTTTAGATCCTTCCTATTTTTAAAAAAATTTTTCCTTTCAATTAACAGATACGGAAAATTTTTGTTCTCTTCGATGTATCTTGTATAAATTCTAAGGCTTGTTCTATGTTATCTTAGGTATAAAATCGATGTATTTCCATCGACCATCGTTTCGACAAAGTTTGCCCGTCAAATTAAAAAAACGATTTTCATGGAACTCCATCGAGCAAACTAAGGTAATGTTGCTACTACGGTGAGCAAACAATAAAGAACGGCGGTGAAAACGTGATGGCGTTCGATCGAAATTCGAGGACGATCCCACGACGCCATTACGGTATCGCTGATGGCCAGCGCAAACGTTTCGACCGCACGACACCGTGTGCACGTGAATGTATACGCACGTGCAAACACGCGACGACCCATTTTCCCCTGTTGCCAATTTTCAAGAGGGGGGAAAAAAGCGATCGACAAAAGGGAATGTGGATTCGATGGCAATGTGGACATAGTGGCGATCTCGAATAGTCACCAGAAGAGCGCTCTAATGAGAAGAATACTTTCAATTGTTGGAAGGATTCGATCCCAATTGATCCGTTTTTGTTAATTCTTTTGGATTCGTAACTTTTTATTTTAACAGAGACTATTGATGATAATTTTTCTTGGTAGAAGAAATTTCGATGATTATTATATATATATATATATATATATAGAGAGAGAGTTATAATATAATTTTTCTTAGTCGAACAAGAAAAATTGTTTCCATTGGAAGATTTATAGGTTACTAACCTAAGAGTTAAAGCTCAATACCACCAACTGTAAGATTTCAATGCCGATGTAATTCCACAGGTTACAGCTCGACTAACAAAAGAACAAAGGATTACAAGGCTTTGTGTGCAATTGATGTATACCACATTGCATCGAGGATCGCACCATAAATCAAGAAACAGCGTTCATCGTTGACTTAGCCAAATCAACATTCGATCGCGTTAAAATCTACTGCGAATAACATCCCCATAAAAATAACTCGATCCCTTTTACAATTTTGCGAATCGCAGATTGGAAAATCGAGGGAAAGTGGGTTAAAGGGGAATATCAAGAGCGTATCTAATAAATCGAAAAAGCCTTGTTTCAGCAATACGTGGATGGAAGGACGTCGATGGATCGATGGACCGAGGTGTAAATAGTACATAAACAGGAAGTAGCGGCTCGTAAAGACACGCTGACAGCCGGTCGACAACGAGGGCCTCTCGATTTGCCCGATAATCCTGCTCTTCATCCCTCTCCTCGTCAACCCCTCTCCCTCTCTCTCTCTCTCTCTCTTTCTCTCTTTCTTGCGCGTACCCTGTCCCTTTGTCACCGACGTATTGTCTGACCCACTCACTGGCAAACCCGGATGTACTCCAAGTGCATATATATCGCGCTTCCACCCCCACTCACCCCCATTTTTCAGGTCAAACTATTTTTTATCACGGTGAGAAGGTTTCGCCGTGGACTTAATTTTTTAAGGCGATTCTGCTAGAGGGCAGATTCATCCCTTCTTCTTTTATTATACGAATTTTTGTTTCGAATATTTCCCTCCGATTTTATCCCTTTTTTTCCCCTTATATTATCTCGATATTTTTTAGGAAATATTTTTCACTGAATGTAACTAACTTCTCCAAAAAATGGAGAAGTATAATAAACTTCGTTCTCACTTTTTCACAAGCATGAAATAACCACCAGTGTTAC